GCAGCTCTTAAAGGCCGCGCGCGTCGGGCGCGCGCGCCGCCGCCACGGGGGGCCGCGGGAAATGGTGGAGGGGTTAGAGCTCTGCCCTCGCACTCCGCGCCACGTCCTCCCCTCCCCCGCCTCCCATTGGCCAATTGCAAATCTCGCGAGCGCCGCTTATTGCGAGCGCCGCTTGTTCCGTTCCCAGCCTGTGGCCCCGGTGCCGTGGCAACCGCATCTGTTTCACCCCGCCCCTAGTGGGGCTGCTCGCGGAAGTGCTGCGGTTGGGAAGGCGGGAAGCAGGCGTCAGGCGCGAGGAGGTCCCAGGGTCTGCGCGCCTTCCAGCACGCGAGACTCCCAGTCAGGCACCCCAGTTTCCTGACTTAGCGCCCCACCCGCAGTGACCCCATGAACGGTTCTCCTCCTCCCACTGGCTCAGAATCCCCAGAAGTATGGGAGGACCCCGGGGGCCCTGCACCTATTGTCTGCGCTGTCTTTTCTCCCCCTCGCCTCTGATTCCCTGTTACTCCCTCTCACCCCCTCATCTTTTATCTGCTTTGGGACTGAGACAGGAAAGAAGTAGTGGGGGAAGCTGAGGGTGTAGAACATCCAAGACAGGGTGGTGACTGGAGAAAGAAAAATAAGAAGGGAGGTGGTGAACGGGGAAAGTCTAACCAGCAGTGGGGCTGGGAATTGGGAGAGGGACTCTAGCAGTGGAGGACACATATGACATATAACAGGTGGGGAGAAGACATAGCCTCCGTAAAGAGGCTGCATCTGTGGGAGGGTGTAAAGAGGAAGCCCAGGTCCTCTAGCCCTTGAGTTTTGAGGAAGTGAAATCGGAAATTCCCTATGTGGGGAAGAGGGGAAATATGGGGCAACAGTGAAATCTTGTGGGAACTTAGGGGGAATTAAAAAACCCAAATACTTCCCCTTTCTTCTCTGGGTCACCACCACTTACCGTCTTTTACTCTGACTTTTGTCCCCTTCCTTACCAGTTCCTGGCTGTTCCAATAGGCTCATACCCCCTCATCATCCCTGGCCACACCCAGGCCCTCTTGGCTGTCCGAGCTGGTGAGAATCTTCAGTAGGTGATGTCAGAGCTTTGGAGACTGATTGTTATGTAACCAGTATCAAGACACCAAAGTGCCAGGGGTGGTGGCAGTGCTTGCTCCTAGATAGACCTAAAATGCACCTGGAAACTAGAAGGCCTCATGTCCAATTTTCTGGCTTCTGGGAAATGTGGGAGCCTGGAGGGCTGGGTGTCTGTATCAAGGAAGAAAGCAGGCTGGTAGGCTAAGAGGACAGAGGCAGGAACTCAGATTTGAGAACAGCAGAATACTAGCGGGAGCCAGAGGGGGCCAGATGGGAGATTTGATTGCCCACCCCTTGTAGGATCAGGCCTCGGTGCTTTCTGAGGGGAAAAATTCACGTTAAATTGATTGCTTTCCCTCCCCCTCCCTGACCATTGGAGAGCAGATGAGTAATTCCAGCCCTGCTTTCGGTCTTAGGTCCCTGATTTACTGCTTTTACTTGGGACTTCATTAGCATTCTTTTCATCACAGTAAAACGCAGCAGCCATGAGACACTTTCTTTGGCTTTCTCCTCAAAGGGGGATATTAAGACTCCTAAGCAGGGCTGTCACCAGAGACTGTGTGCCAGCTGGTGACTAGGAGTCCCCGGCAGAGCCAGTCTAGACTTCCTGGTCCAGCCTTAAAAGCCAAAGAACTTATCTCCTACATGGTACTTTGAGGGGTCCACCCCGGAGATGTAATTTCTGGGCTGTTCCAGGGAAGGGCCCGGGGCTGAGGATCCTGAAAGAGGTGGTTGTCTAATGGCCTGAATGAGGGTTCCACTAGCTCGTCCCGGCAGCTCTCACACTGACCCACCATGGTTGTCACATCTCCCTAGAGCCCTGTTTGCTGGGAAAACCCTGCCCTAAAAAATTGGAAACAACAAAATGTTCCTGGGTTATTTATAAATGAAACCCAACCCCTGTTGGCTATGTATGGATGCTTGGTTTCTCCAAGGACTTGAAGGATTGGAAAAAGGGATCTCCCTCACTAGGCTCAAGTGGGTGGAAATTAGTTTCCCCAATTTCACGGAGTTGGCCCCTAGGTCCTGGGCAGCTTTCATATCTAGTAATGCTCCAGATTGTGAACATGTCCTTTCTTTCCTGTTTGTTTTTTGTGTAAGGTAGTTTCTGTTCGATGGGAAAGTTTCATAAGCCGTGAATGAACCATTTCACTTTTGGTTTCTCCTCTTTCACTTTCTGTCTGTTTTTGTCTGGGTCCCCAGCAAAAGATTGAAGAAGGCTTCAGATATTTTCCTTCATCTCAAAAATGATGCCCATCTCCTACTCCTTCAAATTCACAGACATAGACTGCCAAACCCTGCCTTGGGTGCCACCAGGTCTCTTCAGAGACTGCTCCCAGCTACACAAGGGGGTTACCTGCTTTCCCTCAAAGCAGTCTGCTCAAGCCCCTAACAGCCTGGTCTAGAGAAACATGTGTCTACAACGCCCCTAAAAACAACTTAAAAATAAAAAAGAAAAATGGAGTTTTTCTCCAAATATGGTGGAAGAATCAGGCTGAGAAAAGCCCAGAACATATAGGTTTGTCCCTGGGATGAAGAATAGTTCATTCTTTCCACTGAGCAAGTTTGCACATAAGCAGAGTTTACATTCCTTGCAATCATGAGGGATAGATTTGGCCAGCAGATGGGAGGGCTGTTGGGCTCCAGAGGCCTCTGCAGGTGTCAGGCAGGAGCTGGAATGTGGTCTGGCTTGGAGGTGACAGAGTATCAGGGCTGCTTAGGGTCTCTGCTTTCAGATCCCAATGAGCAAAAGTGCGAGGCCCGGGGATGCTTAGTGGCCTGCTTGAAGTCACCCAGGTTGAACGAGAAGCAGGGCTTTGAAATCTTAACACTGTGCTCTTTCCACACTCAAACCATTTGAAGTTGCAGGGTCAGGCTGGTGGCAAACCAAGCACGAGGGTTTCAAGAGTCTCTTTCCCTGGTACAGGCCGGAGTGAACTCTGCCCTGAAGCAGCAGCTCCTGCTCTGCAGCGAGGGGGTTCCGCATGTGACCACATAGTGCTTTGCAGAGCTGAGCTGCAGAGGCCTCTGAGCACCTCTGGTAGAAACTCTACTGCAGGGCTGGAGGAGGCCACCCACTGCTGGGCTTCCAAACGTGTGTCTCAGTCCCTGTGGCCTCTGGCCCCATCTTGCGGGGGCTGTTGGGGCGGGAGCTGCAGGTGAACACAGGGTGCAGTCTTTACCTAAACTCCCTGGAGAGCTCAGGTGCCATCCCAGCCCTGCCCTCCAAGCCTTTGCTGTGGACACATCGCATCTGGGGACTTTTGGGGAAGTGACTTATTATCTGGCACGGTTATTATCTGGCCTTCTATAGTGATGCCATCGGGGGTCCCTTGGCAGGGTTTTGGATCTCCCCTAACTGTGAGGGAAATGGTGGGTGTAACCCCAATGTCCCTGTGGTCTCGGAAGCTGAGAGTACATGCAAGGCATACGGATGTTGCTGCCTGAGTGGCCACAATCCTAGCCCCACGAGTGGGAGTGCAGTCCTTTGCCTTTCCCACATCTCTCCCATGCATGTTCCTCTGCTCCTCTCCCTCGCCGTGGCCTCTATTCCCTGTTCCCCCATGACCAGGCTCTGCCCTGAGCCTCACCATGGGGCTCACAGGCTGGGGGCTGGAGAATAATTCCGTCCCCAGTCATGTGTCACCCTCAGCTGCCAGGGCACAGAGACCAATGCATTTTTCACAAGCCCAGCCCCTCACACCCATATCTCAGTGGGGTTCAGATATTGTGCCCCAGGTCACCCTCCAGCTCCTTCCACTGACCTAACACCTCCTTCTTCCCTCTCCCAAGTTAGTCTCCACTCAGGTGGCTCTGAGCTTGGTGGGCCATGCAGCTGCCCCAGCCCACCTGCCCTGCCAACAGTCTCTCACTTCCCTTTTGGCCCAGCTGGAACATTCCCCTGACTTCATCCTGACCTTGAGTACAGGCCATGGGGATGGGTCATCTGAAAAGGACCGGAAGTGGCAGAGATGAGAGCGCTCATGTGTACCCAAGCTCCATGCTCACTCCGAGAAGTACATGTTGGGCCTTCTCAAAGGGCGGGAATGCAACAGAACCTTCCCCAGAGCTGAGGTCAAGCTTCCATCACCTGCTTATCCAGCCTGGCCTGCTACCCCTGGGTCCCAAGACCTCCCCCTGAAAAACTTTTGGTAATTGTGGTAGGCAGAATTCTAAGATGTCCCCAAAATTCTCCACCCAGGTGTACATACCCGGTATAATGCCTGGGACTGTGAATTTGATGGGTTTACTCCTGTGATAGGTCATGTTCGATGGCACAGTTAACTTTAGATTATCAGAGCGGCCTGACCTCATCCCATGAGCTCTTTAAAAGCAGTTTTCTCTGGCTGGTGGCAGAGGAAGTCAGAGATTCAAAGCACAAGGATTCGATGTGCCGTTGTTGACTTGAAGATGGAGGGGGACCACATGGAGAAGAATGTGGGTGGCCTCTAGGAGACTAGAGCAGCCCCCAGCTGACAACCAGCAAGGAAACAGGGCCTTCACTCCTATAGGTGCAAGGCCTGAATCTGGCCAATCCCTGCCAACCAATAAGAATGAGTGTGGAAGCAGATGCCTCCCAGGGTCCCCAGATGAGAACTCAGCCTGGCCACCACCTGATTTCAGCACTCAAGACTCTGGACTTCTGATCTACAGAACCATGAGCTAATAAATGACTGTTGTTTTAAGCCACTTATTGTGGTCATTTGTTGTGTGGAATAGAAGGCCACTACAGCAACGGATTTGTCTTTTTGTCAATCAACAATTTATTTGATTGGCAAAACCTGGCAACAGGAGAGAAAAAATAAAAGGAAACTAGAGTGATTGTGGTGTACTGTAACTGGGAAAGCAGATTTCAATACTGATGCAACTTGATCTGGCTACACACACACACACACACACACACACACACACACACACACTATTGAGAGAGAGTGTAGCAAGTAACGGCCAAGTGCACTGTTAAGTTCTACGTCCTTCTGCTCTGTTTATTTAGCAAGCTCGAGGGTCTCGTCGGAC